TGTTTCTACTTTTAAGCGATGGTAGAGTTGGGGGAAAATAGGAAAGAAGCAGTGATCTCTGTGAAAATGAGGATAATTGTAGCTCGATTATACGTAGAATGAAAGAAAATGTGCAGATAGATGCATGCATGGATGTTCACACAATATTCTCTAAACGCGCCGATGCTTTTGTAGAGGATGTTGATAAAGATAGGGATATCGGTTTCGAGCTTTTCGTTAAATCATAAACGTTGCGGCTCAACTAGCAACAATAATTTTTTCCACGATTCTTCATGAAAATATGTAGATTCGAACCTAAAAATAATACTCCACAGCTTGGGAAATAGTTTGTGAAAAGGATTTAATGATTTGAGGTTTAATCCGACTTGAGCAATATTCTCATTTTTCTCTCCTCTATACAAATATTTTTGAACTTTTTCGCAGGATTTGGTAGCACTATTTGACGACACTATTTTGTTTCATGATCTCATTTCAGAATTTAATCTTTAAACAAGAGTTTAAAGTTTGACACCATCCAAACTTACTAGTAATAAGAATAGCGAATTGTCATTTGTAGTCCCATTAATTACTGAGTAACACGAACGAACAGCTGCACCCTGTACTGGTCCTCGTCTGGCACCACGAATATTCCCAGTGAAGCGGAACAGCGTCAGAGTTTTGGGTTTTTTTTTAAAAACGGTTTCCTTTGCAAAGATAACTTCGACTTGTTTTCCGAGCGCTGTTATCACATTTTTTTACTCTGAGAACGATTTCGCAGATAAAAATATAGGCTTCCTTAACTGTGATGACACTGTGAAAAGATGAACCCTCCGCTCTACTTCGTAGTCGGCAGTCATGAACACCCATCGAACTCGATGAATCGGTAAACAACTAGAGGAATTATATTGTGGGTGTTGTTGTGTTGTTGATAGACTAGTAAAAAAGCTATTGAATTCTAATGTTGTTGACATATTTACAGTAATACTAGCTCCTCGATTCTTTCCCATGGGTGTCTGCTAGCCTTTCCCTTTAGATCCCATCGTTTTTTTTCATCACAACCGTTGCGGTCGCTGGACTCTACCGCCCACATTTAATCTTTGACCCGATCATGCTATAGTGATTGCGATTCTTTCACTCTCAAAGTCCACAATGCTCGTGGACGACATAGTGGTAAGGTCGCCTTAACTTTCTCTCATATGCTCGAGTCATCCTAATAGAACATCAGTCATTTTCTGATGCAATTAGTGCTCTACAACCTGAGTGTACAAGTCCGAAATGCCCTTGTCCAGATGAATGACTTATTCATTGAATTCTATTGAGTGTTCGATCGCAGTTTTATATATATCCTTTCTCTTTGTTGGAATCCTTGTTGCATTGGCTTCTTATGAAGTAATAATCGTAACAATCGGCTGATTTTTTTTAACGTGCAGCACACTTTGTCTTCTTGACGTTAAGCGTCATTCTATTCATCCATTTATTTCAAACCATCATAGCTTTTTTGATATATTGTGGGACTTCCTTCAGACGATATCATGGAATCTAATAAAATTATATGCTCTGATATGGATGTAGAAAACCTTTTTTACTAAATCTCCACTTAGAAGAATTGGTTCTTTGCTTATGATAATGCAATTATAAGCTTTCTCCTAACAGCGAATAAAAATCTGACCTTACGAATAAAATTTTTATAGGAAAAGACCATAAATGTCTAATTATGCAAGTTTGTCAATCTCATCAAATGGAATCATAGCGTGGAGTCGTATAAATCGTAGAATGTCGGCAAATAAGCAGAATTACTGCGAGGTGAAGACAGGTTCTGTCGAATTATGTCAAGTTATGAGATAGTTTACTGCCTCGTTGTGGTTATAGGTGCTTCTTGGTTTGGATCAACTATTTACAGTACTGGACCAACTCCAACTTGGAGTTTACTTCCTAATTGTGGTCACAGGTACTCATAGACTTTTAACTCCTATTTACAACAGTGGCCTAACTATCACCGTAGTTTTTCCAGCTGAAAATATGCTCGACGTTTTCACTTAAAACTTCAACTGAGAGAAAACTAATGGAAAGACGAAATCCTACAGGCCCACACGAATACTTTTTGGCTGAAAACGGTCCTGAAAGGGTAAATTTAAAAAAATAAAAGGGTAATCACATTAGATGTGCGATACCGTTTCTGCTGCCTCCACAAATACATTGCGAGACAGGGAGATGACCTTCACTAGTACTCCCTCGAGTTCCTCTATAATAAATGGAACCTATGGTGTCATTATTTAAAAATTGAGTTTAAGGATACTATCAAACGATCCAACTAAAAGCAAAGGCTACTTTAAAGGAAAATTGGGCAGTGGAACCGTTGTATTTCAACAGCGGATAATATTCTAATTTCTACACACTGATGCATCGCAAGCGATTGCTAGTTGAACGGTGAATCATCAAACGCTTCGATCGAATATTTCAATATTTTAACGCTAAGAGTTCCCATCAGCTCATGGTTATGAATATTTAAAACTGACAGCAATTGTCGAACCATTCGAATAGGTGACGTTATGGAAATGGAAATGTATTTTCTGTTAAAAAATCTCGTTACACATGCGTTTCCTCTTTTATACCTTTCGAAATCGTCGTAAGATTAAGTTATTACATAGGGATCTTTCTGGTTATCCAGAAGAGATACCTGTACTTAGATTGCAATACTTCTACGTTCACTGAGAAATATCACCAAGGGTGACAATTCGTTTCACAGATGAATGCAGGATCACATTCACGAAGCACGTTCACGACCATGTTTTACCAGTAACGCAAAAAGACTCATAGTAAGACAGATTTGTTATTTTCTTGTCATGACAGTCAAGTACACTTATTCTGTGGCGACGATCAACCGGTTTGCGTTCGCTCCGCTGATCAAGTGACTCCCATCAATGGCAGTGAGAGAACAAGCAAATGTCTATTCGCATCGATATCGTCGACTTCGGGCTAAGACTGACTATCGGTTCGAAATGTTTAAAAAACATTGAAACGTTCGAATCCAATTCAGAAAGCAAGAACTTCACTGTGATTTCTTGGATGAGAAAATTCCTGATGCAGTCCTCACCAGCTGCCACTCGTCAATTCAGTGGTTGCACCACTTCTTATGCTATCGCACAACCCACAGCTGCTCGTTTATGACAGCGAGCCTTCGACATCATGTTTTTGACTGTTGTGTGCACAGTGTCTAAGAAGCACATCAGCGAATGACTCTTTGGAAACGGTTTCCATTCACTATTTAACGACGCCACGTTATGACATTCTACCTACTTCACCCACAGTGCAATAAATGGAACACTTTCTTTTCATCATATTTGATTGCTATCCGTATGCGAATCCATCTTTTAAGAAAGTTTTATCTGACCAGTGATATCGCTGAAATCGCTTAGATTATCTCATTTGATTATTGCTACCATGTACCGAATGTCGTCTCCATCATCTCTAGCAACACTTTCCAAAAACACATCTGAACTTTTCTACTTGATATTTGTGCACTCTTCTTTTTCTTAATATTTCTGAAGGTCTAACTAAGGTTAATAGTGATGTCGTTAATCCTTTTTATGCAGGCTTTGTCACGAATGGCGTTCTCAAGAGTTTGGTTACCAACAAACTTGTGGCGAACCAGCAATCGCTTTCAGTACACTCTTCCAGAACTAAAAACGCGAAGAGAAACGATAAGGGACGTTATCGCAGAGGTGTTGTCTTCTTTCGTGTTTGTGATTTCCTAGCTTTCATTAAGCTTTGATATACCGGATGAAATTGATTTTTGAGACTACCTTCGAAATATAATCTACTAGGCAACGACGAAAAAAGTATTGAGGGCGGTATTGAAAGCAACAACGTTTTAATAGTACCTTATAGACATAAGTAATTCATAGGTTCGTCCTTCTTAGAGCTTATTAGTGAATCCTTGACCGATACTTATATGACGTAGAGTTAATCACGAATTTCCACAGGAAAATATCCCCACTGCTTAATTAGCGAAAAATAGAATGACAGTACAATGCAAACAACTTTTCCTTCTACCTGGTACCTTCAGTTTCAGAAAATAAACTGCACTTAACTAAGGCTTGTACCAATTTAGGAAATTTTTCGTTTAAAAACAACCACTTGAAGCACACCAATTTTGGGTAACATCTGAAATTTTCTTCCAGCTTTTTGTACAATGAAAGTCTTGATGAAATTGTTTTAGATTGAAAGCACCAAGGGAACTACGAAGCAACCATTTGTGGACACTCATGGCAGGACTCACAACTACCTCCGAATATCACTTACAGAGAAGTGTAACCTTAGATGTGCGATCTCACTTCAGAAAAAAATTTAATGGAATTACGTAAATAGCTTTCCTCTGTGATCTTGTAGTAGCAAAACTGATCTCTATTGGCTACGAAATATAAAAATGCTATCCTGAATTTCTGCATATAACGCTTTCGAGCATATATATTGTCTTAAAAAATAACAGCCTTTCCTTAATGTTATGTACAAAACGGGTCTCACAAAGTGCTAGTAATGACGGTCACACGAAGAACGTGGGAGCTTTTGGATTTATCAGCAACACCTTTCGGTTTTACCACTACACTAAGTAAATAGCTGAGGAAGAAATACGGTACAATTCATTTACGTTAAACCACTTAATAATTCCACAGTATTATATCGACATTACTTGTTTCTTGCGAGTTCATCTAATATGCTCGACCAAATTTGTTGACCTTTCAACTTTAATACTTCACCTTAACTTTCCCATTGCGCTGCATTCGTTCAATTTCCGCATTTTATATTCAGCGTTAGCAACTGTTCAATCTCTCGTTTTGTTATTCACGTAATTTGTTCTGACGTAAGAAAATCAATAAGAAATAAGAAAAGCTTAAGAAAAATTATGTATGAAATAAAGTGCGTGGTTTTTCTAAACAGAAACGTAAAAGTGTTTTTCCATTCCAGCAACGTTTTATTTGCAAGTATATTGCTCTAGCAAAACACATTTAGGCTTGTACTGTATGCCAGAAGAAGGCGTAACTCTTTCACCGTCGTCCCATTTGCTCACTTCAGATGAGATCGTCAGACTGGTGGAATTATTCGCCAGTCATGGTATTGACAAAGTTCGACTCACAGGTGGTGAACCAACAATACGGAAAGATATTGTAGAGATTGTAGGTGGGAATGACACGATTTATTATAAAGTATTTAACAAAATTAAATAAAAAGCTGGATAATAGAGAGGTAGCTGGTCGAATTTACCACTTAGGAAGAATTAAAAATGTGCCGGGTATCAAAGATATTGGAATAACGTCCAACGGCATCGTTTTGGCAAAGAAACTACAACAACTTCAAGATGCTGGTTTAACAAAGGTATTTTGTTACCCTATTGTCGTCCATGGTCTGCTGTACAGTTTACCTTTAGGTAAATATCAGTTTGGATACGTTGAATCAACAGAAATTTATGTTGATGACAAGGAGAAATGGCTTTACTAAAGTAATGAAATGTATTGATCTTGCTGAGGATTTGTTTCCCATAGTAAAAGTATGTATTTAGTTTGTTCTCAACTGTTTTTATGTGCGCTTAAAATTATCTGTTAGGTCAACACAGTAGTCATGAGAAATGTGAATGACGACGAAGTGAACGACTTTGTTAAATTGACGACTGGTAGGGTAAGGAGTTGTTTGTGTTGAAGAAGAAACCTAGTACGCCTATTAAATTGAAGATTTTTAGAGACTGGACGTCCGTTTCATTGAATATATGCCATTTGGCGGAAATCATTTCTCCAAAAAGAAATTCATCGACTATAAAAGTTTGTTGGCCGTCATCGAGAAAACGTTCCACGGGTTGGTTCGTCGACTACCGGATGCACCAAACGAAACCACAAAGGTTATAATTATCCTGCAAAGCATTGGTTGAAAAAACTGACCTTCAACATTTATATTGGAAAATAACTACTATCAACCAGTATAAAGCTATTCAAGCACTCAGTACAAATCCAGGGCTACCAAATAGAAGGTTTCGTCGGAAGATTTGGATTTATAACATCAATGAGCGAGCATTTTTGCGGCACATGTAATCGTCTGCGCATAACGGCCGATGGAAACCTTAAGGTTTGTGATATATCTCTTTCTTTGGTGCTTTTCAGTAAGAAGCAAGGAGCCTTTGTTTACCAAAGAAAGTATTTGTTCACGGCTATGAAAACTCTGCGAGTTATTCTTAATTCTATACTTCTTTTCTCTTTCGTGCTCACTACTTTAATTTTTTAGATACTTAGCATTAGAAGCATTCCTAAATTCACATTTCCATTTACAAAGCCTTCTTCTCTTTCTTTCAATGAATTCTCCTTCAGAGGCTCTATTCGTCCGTTATGAACTAAAATGTGTGAATCTTCTTTATGCCTTGCTAACATCCATTTTTTCCACAATTCAGAGGTAACCTCTAAGTGAACATCCTATCTATTGAAATCCTATGCGTAATGAAGAACGTATGCATGGAAATGCCTCACTGAAAATTTTTACCTAACCTTCGGGATATCCAGCTACTATATTTACGAGGGATTTTCTTTTAAAAGGAAAACCTCCTCCATTAGATCGATAGCAAATACCTGCCTTTTTTGAAAATATTTCTTTGAAAACGAGTGTCAACGTACCAGGAAGATTAAGGATCGATTTCGATACTTCAGTCAACACAGTTGTATGAAGAACTCTTTATTAATGTACTCTTCTCAACCAGTCAAAAATCCGTGCTCATCTTTTCAGTTACATGTTTGGCACACCGTGTTACACGATATTTCAATCCTGGAAGAGACCATATTTTATTCTTCATTTTGTACACCTATAACACATTATATATATAAACATTATTAAAGTAGAATATCGAATCTTTGGAGAAACTATTACTATTGCTGTATGCTATTTATAAAACTTGTAATATAATTATGTATTTAATATACATAGCATATTATATATAACATTTTACATATGCAATATTTATTATTCTCACTATTATTGACGAAGGACAGCCATGTGAGCAGGCAGGGTTTGGAAAAGAATTTTGTACGATGGGCCACATCAACACGGTAACACGGCTCATTGAAGTATCGCGAGAGTACAAAAGACCGGTCTGCCTCATTTTCATCGATTTACAGAAGGCCTTTGATTCAGCTAGGATGGAAGCAGTATGGGAAGCCCTTGATAGTCAAGGAGTTCCTACTCAGTACATAAAGATTCCTCGCGTGCTGTACAAAAATTTCACAACCAAGATAATCACCATTCTACAACGATATTAACGTTAACGTCAAAATAGAGGTTAGGCAAGGCGATACCATCTCGCCAAAATTATTTACCGCCACCATCCAGAACGTCATGCTAACGTTGGAATGGGATAATATGGGAGTGAAAATCGGCGGTCGACAGTTACACTATCTTCGCTTTGCTGATGACATTGTCCTTATAACACCAGACATTAGCCAAGCAGAACGGATGCTTGACGACTTTGGTAAAGCCTGTGAAAAGATTGGTCTTCGACTAAATCTCAAAAAAATGATGTTCATGAAGAACGAATTGATGTCGTGTGCTCCATTCACGCTCAATGGAACGAATATCTAGGAATGCTCCAGTTATGTCTATTTAGGTCGGGAAATCAGTATAGTGAACGACTTAGCTCCAGAGCTGAGCAGAAGGAAACGAGCGGATCGGGGAGCCTTCAAGAGCATCAAGGATGTAGTGAAGAGAACAAAGAACACCCGAATGCGTGCCTACCTTTTCGACTCAACGGTACTTTCTGCGTTAACTTATGCGTCAGAAACCTAGTCGATGCGTAAACAGGGCGAAAAATCACTCAGCGTTATTGAACGCGTAGTCGAAAGGACGATGCTAGTAGTATCCCGTTCCACAGAAGTAAGGGATGGGATCCGAAGCTCCGATCTGCTTCAACGATCAAATAGCAAAGATGCCGTTCTGTACGCCAAACAGTCGAAGATAAGGTAGGCCGGATACGTAATGCGTATGAAGGACAACCGATGGATAAGAGCCGTTATTGACTGGATTCATCGGGATGTCAAGCGTACTGCAGAAAGACCACCGACCCGATGGTCAGGGTTTTTCACGAGGAACCTGGCAGAGAGATGTGATGGTCGACGAATCCCCAGAACGAACAGAACCCACTGGGCTACTCTTGCACGCGACAAGGAAAAATGGAAGATTTACTGGCTCCCGCTCGATTCACTCGATGATCAACGGGACTACAGGCGGTACAGGTGATGTTGTTATTGTTCTTAAAGTATCAATCCAAGAAGGTTTTACAACTGCATTTTTAGGTTGTTCGTAAATAAATGGGCGTTTTTAACTATATTTTTGAAAATGTCATAGCTTGCGTCAAGCAAAACTTTACTAATCGAAATAAAAATTATTTGAGTCTACTCACCAATTTTTGTCAACGAGAAACGAGTTCTTTATGTTCAGTTTGCATGAAATTCTGTAGTTCTGAAAGCGATGAATTCGCTGAAGGCATTTTTTGCGTCGTCGTGGTTAGTGAAGCACTTCTAGCGCAGGAGGTTATCAAGGTGCTTGAAGAAGTGATAGTCTTTAGGCGAGGCGCCTGATGAATATGATGGATGTGGCAAAGTTTCGTAGACCAACTCGTTCGGCTTCCGCAGCGGTGGCTGCACAACGTGAGGCCAGGCGCTGACGTGGAGAAGGATTGGTCCTTTTCTGTTGATTAATGTCGATCGTTGTTGTCGGAGTTTGCGGTATATTTCGTCGATTTGTGGGTAATACTTGTCTGCTGTAATCGTTTCGCCCTGATTCAAAAAGCCGTGATAAATCAGCCTGGATGCAAGCCACCGAGCAGTCACCACAACCTTTTTTTGGTGTGATTTCGGCTTCAGGAAGTGCTGTGGTGCCTGATCGTAAGCTAACCATCGAGCTGAACGTCGCCAGTTGTCGCACAGCATCCAATTCTCGCTGAACATCACGTTCTATCAAGATAAGAGTCATATTTGTTGCGCAGAATAACAGCAGACGATACTTCAAAACGGGAATTTTTTTTGATCATCGTTTAATTCGTGCGGCACCCACTTGTCGAGCTTTTTTGCCTTTTCTATGCCATTCTGGTAAGTGGAAATTGTTCCTGTGCTTACGCCAAGCTGTTCTGCAAGCTATGGAACGGTTGGTAGCATGTTTGCTTCTACAATACCTTGAATTCGTTTTCGTCCAGCTCATTCAGATGTCCGCCTCCTTCCGTATCTTCGAGGTCGAAATCACCAGAACGGTATTTCCGGAACTAATGCTCGCACTGTCGATTCAGCAACGCTACCTTCACCACAAACCTCTTTAATGCTTCCAGCGGTTCCTACTACACTCCAACCGAGTTTGAACTCATAAAAGAAAATCTGACGAAAATTTATTTTTGACATCTGGAATTGCAAAGCTCAAAATTGGTAAAAGAAATTTAATTTAAATACAAATAAAATACAGGACATTTTTTAAACGCGTAAAGCCGGCTTTCTAATGATGTACAATACTGCGTGGTACAAGAAATATTTGTTGGCAAAAATACATTAAAACAATATCTGAACCACCTAATATTGCTGTTTATATTAGTGTTGAATATGGAAGTGGAAGAGTAGAAGAAGTGCGAGACGAAGGAAAACTTTTGTGCTCAATATTTGGAGGACACCTCTGGAGGAGAATAGTGGGCGGGTCAGTGTTGATTTGCAACTCTATTAGGTCTAATGCTAAAGTAGCTTTGCGAAGAAAGTTCGAGGACCTTTTGAGTAAATCACATAACACAGCTTCAATGGCGCACAAAAATATCGCTAAAGAACACCAACAGATCACATTAGGATAGGTAAAGTGCAAGAAAATTCAAGGCTAACCGTGTTAGGAGGCATAACTCTCCCTGACGGTGTGCGCTCGTTATTAGAATTGGGGCCGAGTTTCTCACCATCTGAACCCATTTCTAATATAACCTTGCGTAGGGTCGCATGTGGTTTACATGAACTTCAGGATAGACTCCGCAAAAAAGCTAGAGATGAAGCGCGAAGTGGGTGTGAACAACACCAAGTGGGGTCCTACCAATAGCACCATTACCTCAGCCGTTCTTTAGACAACAAGAACCCAATAATAAAGTTGATCTTAAATTTCGGATGTTTAGGAATGAAACTCTCAAAGTCCTTAATCACTATCGCGCGAAAAGATACAGCTCAAGCCTCACTGAATTGCAAAAACGTGGTATGCGAGAGGTACGAGAGCTGATAAGGTTGAAAACCATAAGACTTTCCGTTTCGCAATTCGACGTCCAATACTTGGTGACTGTCCTCTGGTAGACCGCATACGTCGCCCATCATCTGAGGAGGAATTCAAAAGTAAATACCGAAAATTGAACCACGAATGGGCCAAAATGGCAAGGGCTGCTGGTTTGAAACCATCAGTTATCTCTCAACTTAAAGTTGCCTTACCAACATGCCCCGTCTTGTACATACTTATAAAAACTCATAAGTTAGTATCCAGCGGTGATCTTGCGTCTACCGATCCATCACTATTTAAGGTTAGACCTATCATTAGCTGCGTAGACGGGCCAACGGACAGGATAACATGGTTTTTAACCCTAATATTTAACCAGTTGTTGAAACACATTCCAGCCCATCTTACGAATACCCAGATGTTTCTGGATCGTCTACGTACTGCGCAGCCCAACAGCGCGTGCGTGATGGAGTCCTTCGACGTTACCGCCCTTTATACAAAAGTGTCGAATGACTCCGCAATGCAAGCCATATTCGAACTCCTAACACAACACGAAGGAGAAATAAACATGTATGGCTTCAGGATAGAGCACCTGATGGCACTCTTAAAAGAATGCTTGAGCTGCTCAATCTTCAGATGGTCTGGAAAGTACTACGCTCAAATAAGAGGGTTGGCAATGGGGCAACGACTGGCTCCAAGCCTTGCCATTGCATTTATGTCTAAGGTGGAAGCACCGGTGACTGATCTCGGGCCGCTACTCTACTGTAGGTATGTAGACGNCGTGTCGAATGACTCCGCAATGCAAGCCATATTCGAACTCCTAACACAACACGAAGGAGAAATAAACATGTATGGCTTCAGGATAGAGCACCTGATGGCACTCTTAAAAGAATGCTTGAGCTGCTCAATCTTCAGATGGTCTGGAAAGTACTACGCTCAAATAAGAGGGTTGGCAATGGGGCAACGACTGGCTCCAAGCCTTGCCATTGCATTTATGTCTAAGGTGGAAGCACCGGTGACTG